CCGGAGCCTCATCTGCCCCAGGCCTCTTGTCACCAGCTCCCTCAACCATTCCTTGGGTGACAATTTCCACATCGCTTGCCTCCCTGGGACCCCTCCCCAGTCACACTCGACTCTGCCCCCTTTCCTCTGCCTGGGCAGGATCAGACTTGCATCAAGCCACCCAGAGCACAGCAGACAGGTTACCTGCCTGATCCTGGCCTTTCTTGACGTAGACTGGGAGTATCAGGGCCCAGCTGGCAACCCAGTCCTACTGCAGCACCTTTGGGTCATGTGGTCCATTGATGCCCTCAGATCTTCAGAGAAGCTGAGCCGAGCCAGAGCTCCTCAGCCTAAAGAGGAAAGGCTGAAATGTGGCCCCCCAATTGCATGGCCTGACACAAAACTTGCTCTGGTCTGGTCAGCTGAGCCTGCCCACATCTGATAGTCATATCAGACCTGTCACAAAAATGAACAGCTGGCCCTCCCAGCTCTGCAGCCTACTGAGTGGGTTCAGTCGGCAACCCCTCCCATGACAGCCAACGAGAATCAAAGGCGACATTATCTGTGAGTACTTACGATATGCCAGGCACAGAGTAAGCTTTTGAGAAGTGCTTTTGCTCTCTCCACCTTGTAGGTGAGGAAACTGAGGCACTGGAAGGTTAAAGGATCTTCCCAAGGTCAAGAGCTACTTACTGAAAGAGCTGGGATTTGGATCTGGGCAGTCCAGCTCCAGGTCACCGGTTTTAAAGGTCTGTCCAGGCCAGACTGTGGACAGGAGGTTGCAGCCCACCTGCCCTCCTCTGGTACCTGCCCACGTATCTGTCACCAGGCATTGCGATTTGTTTGTTTTCAGCCAGCTCTCGACCTTATGACAAGTGCAGCAAGCACGGCTGTGTCAGAACCTCCATCAGTGTGTTTGAACATCTCCCAGCAGGTGCTTCTGCTGATCAGTTTTTACTCACTCTGCAGTAATTAGGGCCTTGGGTCTTACTTCAGCTAGCAACTCAGGGTGAACGTGGTCCCTGATGGGAGGGAGAGGTGTCCAGAAGGAAGAGCACTGGATCAGGAGTCCCAGGGCTAGAGCTCAAGGACCCAGCTCCGCCCTCCCCACAGCACACAGTCTCCCCAGGCTTCATTTCCTCTTGCCAAAATGCAGAGGATGATGCCTTCGAGATTGCGATCTCAAAAACCAGATCGCAAATGGGGGAAAAGATTTGGAAAGCAATTTCATGAAAGAAAAAAAAGCTTCATTGTACGAGGCCCCATGCTAGGTGCTGCAGAAACACGTCTGAGCCTCACCAAAATCCTTTCAGGTGGAAGGTATTATCCCAATTTTATAAGAAGTGGATGCTCCTGTGATGCCTGTGACCTGATCCTCTTGCCGTGGTTGTGGACTTGCTCATTTCTATCCTAGCTGGGACAGAGCTTATGCCCTTCCCAAAAGGCGCCTAAGACCCTAGAACCACAGAGGGCTGGAGGCAACCCTCACTGCTCAACAGGGCAGGGCGGACGGCAGGCAGCAGAGGGAAGACCCTAATGCTGCTCTCTCTGTGCACCATTACCCAGACTGCTCTGGCCAGCGTCCAGGAGAAGGGGGCAGTGGGCAGAGGCGGAGCCTCAGAGATGAAGGGAGAAGATCTGGGAGGCAGGGCCAGGTCTGCACTGAACCTGGCCCTAAAGAGCCCACGGCGTCCACAGAACCTCCGCCCTTGAGGTAGCACGTCCTTCTCCTCCTCTCCTATCAGGGAGCCCCAAAAGCACCCAGCTCTTTCACAAGGGTCTCCAGACAAGCCATGCTAAATCCTCTGCACCCCTCACCTATCAAATACGGTCTGGGTGCTCCAATCCCAGGGCACGAGTGGAACCCAGGACTCATAGCCACATCCCCACACAGCACCTGGCAGGGGAGGCCCGGATCCTCTCCCACAGGCGCAGGCACAGCAGCTCCAAGAGGGCAGGCTTTGTCTGTTCCCTTCCGCTCACTGCTGTGTCCCCCAGCAACCAGAACAGGGCTTGGAACACAGTACGTGAAGAATAAATATAAGAGAGAAAGGGAAATCAGAAAATCTGATTTGTTTTCTTCCCTCTGTAGACTGGCAGCCACCGTGAGGGGAGAGACTCATCTCACACCTTCCTGAATGTCAGGATCCACAGACCCACGGGTCTACTCATCCACAGATCCACAGACACATACCCCACAGATTCATAGATCCCTGGACCCACAGACCCAGAGACCCACAGACCCGCACACTCAGACACTCCCAGAGATCCATAGTCCACACACCTACTGTGTGCAGCGCATACGCAGCTCCCTGGGCTCTCTGAGTCCCCAGGCCAGACCCAGGACTCCGGGGGGCACAAGAGTTGACTGAGGGCATTAAGGCTGGGCATGTCCTAGGAACATATGGGAAGAAAACGTTCTGCAGCAAAGAACAGGAGGCAGGTTGGAAGGGAGAAGTGGGGACTGGAGGACAGGTGAGGAAGAGGAGCAGCAGCAGGGGAATAGCTGTCGACAGAGGAGAAGGGATGGAGGGAAGGGTGCCCTGCTCTCCCTGCAGCCCAGAGGGGTCTCTCTAGACCCCTACACCCAGCTCAGCATCCCCTCTTTTCAGACAGATTAGAAGGCAGCTGCCGAAGTGCAGACAGCCACGCATCAAGGAGCCACACAGGAGCCTGTCTGATTACCTTGGACCTGGTGGGGGGATGGAGGAGGGAAGGCAGGAGCCCCGCTTTGGTGGGGGAGGGACAGAGTGATGCCCAGAAACAGACTGGCCTGAGAGCCCCTTCCTGGAGGCTGAGGCCCAGGGCCACACTTGGGGTGTGGGGTGAAGGTGGCAGAGAGGGCCACAGAGGGGGCGTGATGAGGGAGACTGGGCGAGGGGAGATGGAGGTGGTGACCCTGGTAGGCTCAGGGAGGGGACCTGGGTCCAGATCCTCACAGAAGCTGCGGTCCTCGAAACTGCTCCCAGCGAGGCTGTGGGCTCAGGAGGGGCAGGATGTCTGCAGCAGAGAGAGGGTGTGAGAGGAGGGGCTTCTCACAGCACCCTCCACCCCTACCTCGCCACCCAAGGTCAAGGGGAACCCGCAGGGACCCAAGGACTGCCTGGTGCCCCCTGGTGGGCCTGGGAGATGCCCTCGCAGCCCCAGCTTCCTAGGGAGAGCTTGAAATGGGGTTGAGGGGAGGGGAGGGGAATGCAGGGTGGGGAGGGAGGAATGGGGAAGAAGCGGGAAGAGAACCTTAGTCAAAAGGAAGGGGAAGGGGCCTCCAGCCAGACCTGCAGCCCCTTCCCCAAGTCTCCCATCAGGAGCCCTGGGCAGGCACGGCAGCTCTTCGAAGCCAGGAAGACAGCGTGAAGGGCATGGCGTGGGGTTCGGCCCTCTGGGGGTGTGGGTGCCAGGCCAGCTCAAGATCCTCCAGGCACACTCCTTACCTTTTCCTCTTCCTCCCCACACTGCAGCCCCATACCTGGTCCCTGCTCAGTGTCACCCTGTCCTGTCCTGACCTGTCACCCTCTGATGTCCCCTCCCTTTGTCTCTGCTTTGATGGTGGAGGCAGGAAGGGAACCGGAAGGTCCCTAGACTCCTGGGGTGTCCCCAGCCCAGCCCTGGATCTTGAATCCTGAACAGAAAGTTTTTCCTGAAGGGTGGACAAGAGTTCCAGAAGTGAGTCCTTAGGGCTGAGAGGAGCCTCAGAAATAAGAGGTGACCAGGTGCCAGCAGGGCCTGAAAATGGGGCGTGGGGAGGCAGGCCCACACCTCAGGCCAAACCCTTCCCTTGGGCTGGGCCACAGACCCACGCCCCTGTTCACACAGCGTCCTATCCCTGAGGTGGTGCCAGCCTTTGTGGGGTGAATCCTCCAGGTGGTGAGAGACAGAGGATGGACTGGCCACTTCCCCGGGCCAATCTGAGCTCTCCAGCGATGACTCTCCTCACATGGAGATCAGACCCCAGTACACCACACACGCCAGACAGGCAGGCCCACTCCAGTGCTCGCTCCTCGCTCCTTCTCTGTCTCTCTCTCTCTCTCTCTCTCTCTTTCTCTCTCTCTCTCTCTCTCACACACATACACACACACACACACACACACACACACACACACACACACACACACACCTGGACCCAGGATACAGACCCTCAGGATGGGAATTTAGCACAGAGGTCTTCTCAGACCCCAATCTTTTCCTCAGCTCAGGAGCCCCCAGGGCCCTAACAGGGAAGAAAGACACTAGCAGAGGGGCTGACTGAGGCTCAGCCCGGGCCCCACCACAGCCCCCTCGCTCAGGCACCTTGACTTCCCCCAGAAGAGGCCTCCTCACCACTGCCAAACCCTCTAGTCCCCCACGGCCCTCCCCAACACCACCCAGTAGGCAATTAGCACCCAATCAACATGAACACTCATTACATAACACCTCCAGCCTCCGGAGGGTCCCTTTCACCCCTACAGTCCCGGCTCCGACCCTGGTGGCTTCATACAGCCAGGCCTCCGCCCCACTGGGGTGCCGGCCAAGGAAGGGGTCTCCACCACCCCTGCCTCCAGGAAAGTTAAACCCTGCCCGGGACTCGCCCAGCCAGCGCCCTCCGCTGCCACACTCCCGGGCCAGCACTCCCGGGCCAGCGCTCCCAGGTCAGCCCACCGGACACCGGCACCAGCTCTGGCCCAGCTGCCCGCAGCCGCAGCTTCGGAGGGGCGGCCGGACGCGCGGACAGCCCGGGCCCGGCCCGGCAGCCTGACTTGTTGAATAAATTTCTGCAGCGCTGGCTCGGCCGGCTTCAGTATTGGCACCGAGAGAACTTTCGTGGCCTTGGAGAGGGGACCGGTCAAAGTTTCCTGTCCTTCCTCCCAAGGCATGGCCCTAATGGCGCGGGATGGGGGGCTCACCTGACGGGCACGCGCGGGTGGGGGCGATTGGTCCCCAGAAATAAATAAATAAATGCCCCAGTGAAGAGAGAGGCCAACGCGCCAAGAAACTGGCATCGAAGCGGAGCCCTCCCTTCCTCCCCCCACCCTGCCCCCACCTACCTTGGCATGGACGTGGCCAGGCCGCGGGGGATCGTCCAGGTTCGAGATGCGGGGACGACGCGTCCCCACCCGTTTCGGCGATAGAGAGGGACTCCCAGCCCTGCCAGCCGACCCCCCGCCAATTCAGGATCAGCTGAGTCCCCTGGGCACGGAGAGCGGCGGGCTGGGGGCGGCGGGCCCGGGGACCCAGGCCATGGCGGGAGGAGGCTGGCGGGCTGTAGGGATGGCGAGGCTCCTGGAGCGCGGCGGGCGGCGGGCAGCGGGGGGCAGGCGGGAGCGCGGCGCTCCGGGCCGGGGGCGGGGGCGCGGGTGCTGCGGGGACCGAGCAGCGGGGCAAGTGCCGGGGAGAGACCGGCGCGGCGGGGAGCGCGGGGCCAGGACCGGTTCCTCGCCCGCCTCGGCTCGGCTCGTGCCTCCGGCCCCGGGCTCGAGGCGCGGGGTCTGCGCGCGGCGGGGGCTGCGGAGGAGCCTGAGCGCCTGGTGGTGCGGGGACGTGCGGCGGCGGCGAGACCGAGCCGCGCCGCGTGCGAGGAAAAGCCGTCCTTATACTGACACCAAATGTCTTCGGGGAAAGCTGCAGGCGCGGGACGCTGGTGTGGGGGGAGGCGTGGAGGCGACAGACAGACTCATGGCGGTGGCTGGTGAGCTCCCACCCTTCCCCAGGGAGCACGAAGCCCCCAGCCCGCGGCCAGCTCCTTAAAATTAAGGGTCGTGCCTGGGGGAGGGTCCTGACCCCTTGGCATGGGGGCTGCGTCATGCGTAAAAAGGGGTGGGGGGGGCATTACTGTCAACCCCCATGTCCCAGGTGTCTGTTCTGCCACGTTCCACCCTGGCTTCTCACTGAGATTCAGGTCAGGGGTGTTCACCCCACTACCCCATGAGGGGTCACCCACCTAAGGCCCCAGCTCTTAAACGGTGGAGCTGAGCAAGAACCCAGTTCTAAAGGTTGCTCCAGGGCCCAAGCTGCGTCCTTTCCACTTCTCATTCACACCCCTCCTTCTTCCCAACCTCCTAAGCTTGGCTGAAAGGCCACCTCCTCCAGGAAGGCTTCCCAGAGGGTCCCCAGGTAGAACAGATGCCTCTTTGTCCAGCTCTAAAGGCTTCGGCCTCACCACTTCCCAGGACCCTGTCCCACCAGTTCCCCCATGCTATGCTCCTCAGCCCTGACTCCCTTCCTCTCTCACCCAAGGGCTGTGGGTTGGGGAGAAGGAGTGTTCAAGGTTATAACCACCTTTTATTTGCTCATTTACATCCAGCCAAACAAATTAAAGGCTTCAAGACTCTCCCCAATGCAGGCTAAATGGTCTACTCACTGGCTTACAACTCAGGAAGCATTTAGTGAGTGCCTGCTATGTGCTAGGCACCTCTTTAAATCACCTGGAGGCCAGGTGTGGTGGCTCACATCTGTAATCCCAGCACTTTGGGAAGCTGAGATGGGTGGATCACCTGAGGTCAGGAGTTCGAGACCAGCCTGACCAATATGGTGAAACCCCATCTCTACCAAAAATACAAAATTCGCCAGGCATGGTGGTGCATGCCTGTAATTTCAGCTACTCAGGATGCTGAGGCAGGAGAATCGCTTGAGCCCAGGAGGCAGAGGTTGGGATGAGCCGAGATCACGCCATTGTACTCCAGCCTGGGCAACAAGAGTGAAACTCCATCTCAAAAAAAATAAAAAAACCCACCTGGAGTTTCACCCTTTTGCCTCCATTTTACTGATGAAGAAACTGAGGCCAGAGATGAGCTGCCCGGCCAAGGTTAATTTGCTGGGAAGCAGCAGCTCCCAGGACAGTCCCGTGCTCCCAACCCCTGCCCAGGTGTTGTCATGCTGGGCTGCCCAGCGCAGCCCTCTCCATCTCCTTGGAGAATGTGTGGTGAGGGGCACCAGGGGGATGCTGAGGGCTGCCCTGGGCATCCCTGCCTCCATGCTGGCAGACAGCGCAGCTTTAGAGAAAGGTCTACTTGGGTTTGATCCCAGCTCTGCTTCTTCCTGACTGAGAGTGGTGACAAGCCCCTTAACATCTCTGAGCCTCAGGTGCCTCATCTGTGAAATGGGGATAAAGGTTCACACTTTGCAAGATGCAAACCATCTTTAAAGGGCTTAGCACAGTGTCTGGCACATAGTAGGTATCCAGCAGATATTCATCCCTTTCTAGCTTTTAATCTATCTAAGGGGGCAAGACAAGCCTTTATAAGCAGACTACAAGGCAAGGTCATGTAAGCACACAACAGGCTGAGAGGTGTCTTGTAGGTGTGAATTCAGTGAGCCAGACAGCACTGCGGGTGGGATGGATTTATCACAGATCAGAGTGGGCTTCAGATCAGGACTCTTCAGGGAAAAGCCTCATCAAAGGCGAGAGACTTGAACTGAGCATTGAAAGCTTGCACAGGATTGAGATGAGAAGAGAGAAGGTGGGTAGGGAAACGGCATCAAGGAGGGAGAAGGCATGGAGGCAAGAACAAGATAGCATGGCAGGCACTCCACACCCCGAGCAGCTGGAATGCACAGCTAGAAAACCCCAGGCCTAAAAACAAAAAAAAGAAAGAAAGAAAGAAAACCCCAGGCCTGGTCATACATGGGGCTCACACCTGTAATCCCAGCACTCTGGGAGGCCGAGGTGGGCGGATCACAAGGTCAGGAGTTCGAGACCAGCCTGGTCACTGTGGTGAAACTCTGTCTCTACTAATAATACAAAAATTAGCCAGGCGTGGTGGCAGGCACCTGTAATCCCAGCTACTTGGGAGACTGAGGCAGAAGAATCTCTTGAACCCAGAAGGTGGAGGTTGCAGTGAGCCAAGATCGCGTCACCGCACTCCAGCCTGGGCAACAGAGCAAGACAAACTCTGTCTCAAAAAGAAAAAAGAAAAGAAAAGAAAAGAAAAAGAAAAAGAAAAAGAAAGAAAGCCCAGACCTGGAGGGTGGAAGAAATTGGGCGGCGGGAAGGATGGGGAAGATTCGAACCATCACTTATTTTCTCCCATTCTCCTCTGGCGACATTGTCATAAAGCCAAGTTCAGAAGGCTGGACAGGACCTTGAGAAGCCACCAGATGGTGAACTCTCAGGTCTAGGCCCCTTCGGCTATAGCTTCCCGAAGTGGCCACCCTGTCCCTGCTTGCACACCTGAGGTGACGTAGATCTCACCACCTTCTGGGGCAGCTCCTCTGTTCTCTGGGCATCTCTGATCATTCAAAGCTCTTTTATATTTGAGCAGAAATCTGCCACCTCCATGATCTGGGTCCCTCCCTTATCTTGGCAGGACTGACACTCCCACCTCAGCCTCCTTCACACATCTACGCTGGCAGAAAGTCCTGCTTTATATCTAACCTAAATGCTTTGTTTCTTTTTCTTTATTTCTGCTTTTTTTTCAGATGGAGTTTTGCTCTGTCACCCAGGCTGGAATGCAGTGGCATGATCTCGGTTCACTGCAACTTCTGCCTCCCAGGTTCAAGCAATTCTCCTGCCTCAGCCTCCCAAGTAGCTGGGATTACAGGCACCCACCACCACACCTAGCTAATTTTTGCATTTTTAGTAGAGATGGGTTTTGCCATGTTGGCCAGGCTGGTCTTGAACTCCTGACCTCAGGTGTTCCACTCACCACCTCAGCCTCCCAAAGTGCTAGGATTACAGGTGTGAACCACCACACCCAGCCTCTTTTGTTGTTGTTGTTGTTGAGACAAGATCTCTCTGTCACCCAGGCTGGAGTGCAGTGGCTCAATCACAGCTCACTGCAGCCTCGACTTCCTGGGCTCCAGTGGTCCTCCCATTTCAGCCTCCTGAGTAGCTGGGAACACAGGCACATGCCACCACACCTAGCTAATTTTTTGCACTTTTTGTAGAGATGGGGTTTCACCATATTGCCCAAGCTGGTCTCAAACTCTTGGGATCAAGCAATCTGCCCACCTCAGCCTCCCAAAGTGCTGGGATTACAGACACCACGCCTGGCCCATACTTATATTTCAAATAAAACCTTAGGGCCCACCATGGGCCCCCTATGTCCTGGGAGTAGGGCTGCCAGGCCCCTGCCAGGGGGTGGACAGGGTGGACCCCAGCCTGGAGCACCCATCTGACAAATGGACCAGGCTCCCTATCACCTCCCTAGACCCCAAACCACCTGCCTCCTTCCAGGGACAAAGCCCAACCAGGCTCTTCCTCACTATTCCAGCGACTGCTGGGCCCAGGCTCACCTCTGCCCCCCAGAACTTTCTTGCAATTGTAGTGGCTGGATAGAAAGGGATCATCTGTTCATGGGGACAAATAAACAAGCTAGGCTGGAGGAAGCTGGGGCAGAATACCTGCTCTGTTAAGATCTTTCTGGGCCTAAATATCTTAATAACACAGGGACAAAGATTTCAAGATGCTCAGAATTCACATTCATTTATTTCTCAAATGCTCACAGATCCGTTACCTATGCCAGGCCCTGGTCTAAGCACTTGACAAAAATAACCCCCTTAATTCTTACCATAATTTTGTGAAATGAGGCCAGGCACAGTGGCTTACACCTGTAACCCCCACACTTTGGGAGGCCCAAATGGGTGGATCACTTGAAGTCAGGAGTTCAAGACCAGCCTGGCCAACATGGTGAAACCTTATCTCTCCGTCTACCAAAAAAATACAAAAACTAGTCAGGCATGGCAGCATGCACCTGTAGTCCCAGCTACTCAGGAGGCTGAGGCAGGAAAATAGCTTGAATCCAGGAGGCAGAGGTTGCAGTGAGCCGAGATCATGCCACTGGACTCCAGCCCAGGTGACAGAGCAAGACTCCATCTCAAAGAAAGAAAAAGGAAAGAAAGAAAGAAAAGGAAGGAAGGAAGGAAGGAAGGGAATATACAGAAAAGGAAAGAAAGGAAAAAAGAAAGAAGGAAAGAAAGAAGAAAAAAGAAAAAACCTGTAAAATCATTGCTACCATTTTACAGATGAGAAAACATTGGCACAGAAAGGTTAGGTAACTTGCTCAAGGTCACACAGCTAATAAATGGCAGAGATTGGATTCCAGTTCAAGGGGGTCTGTACTCTTAACTAGGATCCTGGGCTCTAAGACTCAAAAGCTCTAAGATTACAGGATTTCTAAGATTCCAAACTGACAGAGGGTCTCCACCTACTAAAGGAGGTAGGGAACTGGCCCATTTCCCTCCCCCCACAGGCCACCCCACGGTGGAGCACGTTCCTCTGGGACATGGAGAGGGGCCTCTCTTACCAGTCCTGCTCAGGCCCCAGAATCCCAGTCATGCTGCAACCAGTGATATGGC